TTCCGAAAATGTCCAATTGGAATAAGGTCCTCAGACATATCTGTTTTTATAACATCCAAATTATTTAATGACAAAATTTACGTTAAACGGACGGCATAAGAAAATTGATGATAATAAATATCTGAATTTAAAATAAAAACATCAGACCGAAATTTCAATGGTATACCCAAGTAAATAACTAATTTGATACTTCAAAGAAATGATTAATTTAAATTAGTATATGCAAGCTCCGAAATTACGATTACTTAGTTTTAAAGAGTTGGCATGTCGTATCCAAGCTCCGGAACAGTTCAATGATTTGTTATTTCAATGGTTTGTTATTCACCAGAAAAATATTCATATTGACCGAGGCGAACCAGAAAAATATCGCCTCGGTAAATATGAATATTTTTTTGGTGAATAACAAACCATATTCAACACCAAAAGAGTCCATAATTGAATAATATTGTATGTAAGATATAGACCAAAAAAATGAAGGAAAAAAAATTTTTATATTAAGTATTGACCTTGACACTCTTGTTCTTAGAGGGCCAAGGTCATTTCAGTACAGAATTCTGCTTTAAATTGTATGTATACATGTATATTAATTTTGAAATGCTTCAATCATGGATAAATCATCTAATGGTTGAGGTGGAGGTGAAAAAATGGCAAACGCCAAAATACGCAAGCAAAGAATTTTGGTCTGCTTTTCTTCTCACCTTCTCACAAACCCCTAGCATATCATGCTATCAAAACATGTATAAAATCTCTTTGTTGAACAAAAAAAAATATTCTTTTGATGTCATTAAAAATAATCTTTATTTTCATGGATTTAATCTAACGAGAGAAAATAAACCGATTGATTTCATTAAAAGATTTTTCTAGTATAACAGAACTTAAGGGGTATAATAAAGACTTGACGTGCTATCTTGGAGGGATATAATAATAATAGATATCATTGGCAATATTTAGTGCAAAACTGTTTAGTCAAGAAGTTGAAAATGTGATGTTTATATCCAAATATACAAATTCAGATTGAAATATTGCAGGATGAATTCCACGTCATACTGTTAAATCTTCCACAAAATGTTGAAGAGCACTTTTACGTTGTCTCCACCATTCTTTCATCAGCTGTCATTTCTCTGTAAAAATGGAAGAAATTCTTTGACTTGTCCAAGACATTATTATTTGCTGTCAAGTACAAGTTATCAGCTTCTATCCTGTAAAAGATTTAAATATTTTGAAACATATATGTGAATTTATATTTATAAATAAAATTAAGAATGCTACAATTAATACATTTATATGATATTCCTTTTAAAGTAAAAATTGTTTTAACTATGTGATTCAAGTAGTAAAATGATATTGTTAAGTCAATGTATCAGGACTGAAAATTCAACAACCTTGTGGTAAACCATCATGGTTGAATTACTGAACTAAAACAAATAACACATTTGGCAATCTGTCTAAAGCCAGACCCCTATTTACGCTATCGGGACATATAAAAGAATCAGTGAGCGGATGGAAGATCTAGTTTTAATAGGTTGCTACGAAAGACATGATGGGACACGTCAATTTTTCAAAAAAGTAAACTTAATGAATTTGATATCTTGAATTATACAATCCGTTCCCTCCGTTTCTAATCCGAGATATCGAATTACATAGTTCGTTTTCAGAAATTAATTATTCGAGATCTCAATTTGGAACATCAGTCTTATGATTTTGGCAATCTGTGCTCTCAAATTTCATTACATATATGTACAAATACAACCATTTTAATCAATTTAATGTGTTCTATCTATTTTCAGCAACCAGTCGTTTCGAACCTCTTTTATAGCTAATTCAAAGTATACAAAGTATATTTATTTTTGAAATATTATAATTACACAGGACCAATATTTACATTTACTGTATAAACTTTCAATTATTCTAATATACATGTAAGAAAGAAGGATATTGAAATAACGAACAGTATTCAATCTCAACGTCCATTAAACAAATATACAAAACAAGAGCAGAGCAAACACGGACCTCCGAAACACAAAACACAAAAACCTAAGATTTTTTTGTACAAACATCTACTAGTAGTGATGGGTATCGCCAAAAATTTTGTATCGCGATATATCACGATTTTTTCCCAAAATATCACGATAATATCATATTATAAAAGGCAATTTTAACAATGATTTTAAATAAGTAGTCCTTATTTTTCTTCAAAATATACAAGAAAAACTAAATTTCACTATTTTAAATTTCTTATGTACATAAAATTAATCATGTTTGAATGGTAAGGTGCCTTTCTTTTCACCTTTTACATCATTTTTTAGAATTTCTGTGAGTGAAATTTGAAATATTGAACAGATAATGAATAATTCCTGGCCTTTACAATACATGTATGTACCTAAATACCGGTATTTTGGTCTCCGTATCACAATACGTTTCACACAAAAATCACGATATACCGGTATACCGATAAAATTGCACATTCCTATGTACTAGCATATGGCCATGGATCTGAAAAATGTTTATGTAATTTTATTTTTTTTGGACAGTAATATCTAATAAAAGGTAGGATGTGAACTACTACAATATTCTATTCATTAAACATGTACTACCATATCAGATATGTGCAATTAATAATATTAATGAAATCATGGGAAGGGTTTACATTTCGAGGGAACAAATTGATTAAACTAAGAGAATGAATTAAACATTCCAAGATAACAGATTGTGTAATTTGAGGGAACGAATTAATAATCTGTGAGAACGAACTGGCAATTTGTTATAGCAGATTTTCAATCCGAGGGAATTGTGTAATTCGAGAACTCTGTTTACTTTTAAACATTTTTAAAATCCCTATGTCCCTTCATGGCTTTCGTAGGTTACATACCTGCACGGCTGCCAGGTTTGTTAAAAGAAGCAGACAGTGGACTACAAATGTTACTTCAGGGCACAATTCATGGGGCAAAGTTGTCCGTGTGCATGGGAGAGTTGCTTGACCATCCAGTGAAATGTAGTATGACCACCCATGTTTACATATACGATAAATCGAAAGTGACTGAAAAATGTAGAAAATGGACATTCCAACCACATACTTTATGCAGATTTATAATACCACAACAGTCTACAAAGAACAGCTTGTTCTATATCTAACATTCATTCGATTGATTGATTGATTGATTGTTTATCGTTTAATGTCCTTCTCGAGAATTTTTCACTTATATGGAGACGTCACCGTATGCCTGTAAAGGGCTTCACATTTTGACCTTTACTCGGCCCTCAGGGCCATTGAGCAGTGAAGGATCTTTATCATGCCATCGCCTGCCGCTCACACGGGGCCTCGGTTTTAAAGGTCTCATCCGAAGGACTTGCATCTTTCACTTTAAAGTGCCGAGCGTATGGTGAAGGAACAGCTGCTACCCACTTTATCGACTGGGTCAGTCGCGGCCGAGATACGAACTCACGACCTCCCGATCACGGAGAGAGCGCTCTACCGACTGAGAGCATTCATTCGAATAGATATTATGTGTTTAAATAGTGTGTTTTTATGAATAATCAAGCACAATGAGTATAATTATGTGTATCAAACTTTTTTTCAAAATATAATTCAAATTTTTAAAAGCTTGTATGAATGCAATATCATGAGAATGACACAATTAAAAATCAGCATTATTTTATTTAAAAACATTTTGATACACACATAATTACTCTGGAGATGATATCAAAAAGATATTCGAGCATCTGATTGACAATCTCTATTTTGTATTGGAGACCAGATTTTCAAACAATCTTATGGAATTCCCTTGGGCTCCAATTGTGCCTCGTTATATTAAAAGACCTATGTTTTGTCCATATTAGGAGAATATGTCCAAAATCTTATGCATTAAAAGAAGTAAACACTGGCTCTGGCCTTCAAATCAACATTTCGATATATCGAAGTCGTATTGTCACTTAACAGATGTTGTTTCCATTCTAAATTCGTTATGTTACATAACGATGAACTTGAGATAAAAGCCACTACAGAGTCTTACAAATTTGTTTTATATTTGGATAATTTACATGAAAATTACCTTAATGATCATCTACATGTAACAACCCAGCTCTATGATAAAGTGATGACCTTATGTTTTCAATCGTCAACTTTCTTTACTTATGCAACAAAATACCTTCATCACCTTCAAACAAAGTTTATATCTCTCAGTTAATTCGATACGCAATAGCAAACTCTACTATGTACAATTTTTAAAAAGAGGTACATGTAAATTATAGACAAACAAGTTGATGAAACAAAATATCACCAGTCTTGTTCAAATCATCATTTCCTAATGACATTGTCACGAAAAAAAAATTATCATGGAGTCAGATGGTAACTATTTTTATACCAGTTATTAGTCCATTACTTATACACCGAATTGACAATGGATTTTTCTGTTTTTCCCAGTCATGGCAAGGAGCACACTGTGGGTGTGACTGGCCGGTAGAGAATGCCAATTCCTCCATAGTACCTGATAACACCTCTGATGTTTTGCAGGTCCACGTTTGCTCTGTTCGTATTATGTATTGCTTTTCTGGAATTATGACCTTGATTATTATTCTTTATCTCACATTTGTGATGCTAAATTTAGAATATGACTTATATAAGAAGAAAACAAATGTAGTTGAAAACTTAAGATCAATGAACAGTTCACTATTTAAGATATATATTTTTATTTTTGTGACATGACAATAAAATGTTCAACGTACATTGTATATAAAGTTAACAAATTCATTTTTATACCTGTATTTAAGAAACATAACAATTTAAAAGAATATTTCTATTACAGAAAGAATAATCATTATGCATGCATGTATTGTTATGATTTGTAATTAACTCTTTCAGAACAATTGAAAGAAAGCAGTAAAAGTCTTAATTACTTACATAACAAATAAACCCCATAGGAAACAAGATATATAAATAGAAATATACCAGTGTCCTACAATAAATAAAATGATGTGAAAACAACTTTATTTTGTCAAAAGCGTCAGATCGCATCAGATGGAAGACTGTGTATTCTTATCAATGTTGCTTCCTGAAGCTTGTGGAATGGTATTTGTTGTAAGGAATATCGATAAGACTGGAGAGATCCCGAATAGTCTCCACAGATTTGTTGACAGATTCCTAGTATTTGCCACGAAATATCTCTGGGGTAAAGAGGTATATGAGTTCCGTCATCATAGAGAAGCAATGCCTGTAGATCCTGTAGAGATCGTTGTGACCTGACTGTGTCACCCAGTCTGTGGTGATTCAGTGTAAATAACATGTTTAACATAACTAGAGGTGGAATTTGTAATAAATACATACACTGCTTCTTACTGACCTCCTGTTCTATCACAAGTTCATCAATGTAACTGTATAAGCTATCTAGCTTAATATTTTTAACTACAGCTCTCCTCATCTTAGTACCCAGGGTTTTCCTTTCCATGTGATGTCTATACATATCTACATTTACATGACATCCATATATAATATACGGCAGTGATATTCTCCCCTCGGCTTTATGTAAACATTTGAGTGAGTCTTCATATCTACGTGTTCTGTAGAAGTTCATAGCAAGATAAAGAATGTCGGATAAAAATCCAAACTTATACGTCTGTTTTAGCAATGTATCTACTTTTGCTTTATAATAAACCTTATTGCGAGTTCCATTTTTATATCTACAACTCTGTAAGTACATGGCAGTATTCCGTAGAACATTTGATGTGATACATTGTATAATGACAGGTTGATAAAATATCAGCCTTCCCCTAATCATTCTCTCCATTTGTGTTATGCAAACTGCAAATTCATCAATACTCTGAATTGAATAAGGAGATACTGACAATTCCAAAAATAAGCACATATCTAACTCTGTCTTAGTTATAAAACTGCTCTCGTCTGTACAGATTCTCAATGTTCTGTTTAATATAGCCTTACCAAGATAAGGTCGGATTGTTTTACTTAATAGTAGACATGATATCCCCTTACAATACAAACAATACAACTGACTGAATAATGAGGTTTGTACAGAACCAGCGACTTTCTCTCTGAACATGTTATTTTGTGGAATAAAAAAATTTGGACATTCCCCAGTATGTACCATGTATATCAATAGTTTAAAGCTTTTCCAGAAACAAGACAATAAGTTATCAGGTGTCCAAGACAAGGACGTATTGGTCTGAATGACCCAAAACACAATGGTTTTTATGAAATATGAGCAGAGAGTAGGTGTATTTGTTTGATAATTAATTACCTCTTTCAAAAAAATTTTGAAAAGACCATAACACAAAAACTGACAATGATTCATTGAATAAACGAGTTTTTGTTCTGCTCTAGAGAATGAGATTCTCCATTCTAGTTCATTTTCAGGCTTGCTTCCAATAGGAACAACATGAAATCCTCCGTTTAATATATCCGAAATTACATTCAGGTTTGGCCAGCCCTTTTCGAAACATCTCTGTATCCATGATGGTGCTAACGTAGGCCAGTAATTTGACTGGAAACAGAATACTCGGTCAGCCTCTAAATCATGACATATGGAATAGGTAGAACAAGGCCCATGAGAAAAAACATTGGGCAAAGGAGTATTACATGTCCTTACGAAATCCAAATGATAATCTCTGAATAACGTACTTGAAATGAATACATTGTTATTCTTTATTACACAGGAGGATATTATTTTTGCATTATATGAATGACTTATCAGATTAAGTTTGGTAAATCCTGGTGGTAAATCATCACATTCCATCAGAATCACAGTGTGTTGTGGAATACGGTAGAGATTGATCTGAGAGAGATCACATATCACCTTGTGGTCTGGAGGCCACAACATCCAATCAAGATCAGAAGTTCTCATCCTGAATCCCTCACGGCTACTCCCACTCATTATTCTATCAAATCCCCTCATGATGTACACAGGTCTATTCATTACCTCGTCAGTGTCCATCACTTCTCTCCTGATCCTCACTTCTGTAGGACTCCCTATTTCACGACACATTCCTACGTACACAAACTCTGATAGTCGAGGTAGGTTATCCATCACAATGTATTATTATAAAAGAAACAGGCAGCAAGTACGTGAATCTGAAACGTAAAGAAATTTATGTCATTTCTCTGTGAATTATAATAACATATATTGAGAGTGCTTGCATTGATTGACTTTTAATTATTTGCATGATTCTTTCAGGCACTATCGATGAAGACCAACTTATCATGTTCGTCCAAATACCTTTGAAAATGAATATGAATACATTTATATGTACTGGTATTTTGCAATGTACATAACACATTTTTTCAGAAATTGTATAAATACCAAAGCCTTTTTTTTAATGGTATAATTACTTTCCAATGAAGAAGTAAAATAACAAGTACATTCGCATCTAATTTTGTTATACCATTCTGTGACAGAAAAAGAGGCTAGCAGGTCGATTTCCGAGTTTTGGATATAATGTTAAAAAAAATTCAGTATAGAAGGAGTCAGTTTGATTTAAACATCCAGCATAAAAGAAATGTATATATCAGGCATAAAATTAATGTGTTTTTATTTTTGAAACGACATTGACAAAAAATTGTTCAAACAAGAATATCTGCAGCTTTTTAAAGTCAACATTTAAGTTCTATGGTCGATACAATTACTTTGTCATCAAATGCAAATTGTCATTCAGTCATTTGCTGACTGGCATTTTTCATACTAATTGTTAAACAATTATTTAATGATTGAATTGACGACGGATTTCTATTAAATTGTCGACGGATTTTCATTATATCCCAATCATAACAAGGAGCACACAGCGGGTGAGACCGGTTGACAGGGGATGCTCGCTGCTCTATGGCACCTGATTGAATTCAGTTCGTTATGTTCATGTTTATATCCATCTGTAAACAGATGTATTCCAACAGTTTCTTTTCAATTCTATATGTATGGCACGATAAATTCACAAAAATGAGATAAACATAGTTTCACATTCGATAAACTAGGTTTATCGGTTGTAAACTATAGTTTACGGACTGTAAACTATAGTTTACGGACTGTAAACTATAGTTTACGGACTGTAAACTATAGTTAACAACGTTAATCTATATTTTACATCCGTAAACCATAGTTAACGCGATAATCTATGTTTCACAACCGTAAACTACACTTAACCCTGAAAACAATCATTTGCGATTGCAAAGATAGATTATCTGATAAATACAGTTTCACGATTTGTAAACTATAGTTTACAAACCGTTAACTATAGTTAACGATCTGATAAATATAGTTTAACGATTTGTGAAACTATGATTAACAACTCTTAACTCTAGTTTACGATTGTAAACTATAGTTTACAAACGTGAATCTATGTTTATCAACAAAATCTATTGTTAAGGATTATTACAGACAGATAAACTTAGAACATCATTCGTAAATTATAGTTTTACAGATGAAAACTATACTTAACGAATCGTTAACTATACTTAACGAATCGTTAACTAAGGTTTACGATTTGTAAACTATAGTTTATAGTCGATAAACCTAGTTTATCAATTGTGAAACTAGGTTTATCTCATTTTTGTGAATTTGGCGTGCCATATATATGATCTGTAGATAAACAGTTCGATGTAATTAATATCAAAATGTGATAATATGTTAACAAACGTAATAAATATTTTGTAACACCTTGTACATTTTTTCATGAGAATGACTATGCAAGTTAAATATTTATTCAAAGAATTATATAAAGTCCTTACCTTAATTAAACTGTTTGTTTGTTTTATAAATACATTAACCTGTAGTCTATTTCTGACAATCAATGGCTCATCAATGTCCCTATTTTTAGCAATATCGACTTTTTAAAACATGGATCACATTACCTATTAATCGAGAGGACGTGATCTAATTTTTGACTCAATATCAAAATGAACATACTGGACCAATGTATTCCATTATTTGGGTTGAATAGAAATATATTCAGTTAATTTAAGATTGGAAAGCTTAGGTGTAAAATGTATTAAGATTTATAAGAAATTTATGTGCCTTGGATGCTTTGTTTATGGTCTTATAATAATAATTTAGCCAAAAAAAATTGCCATACGTATGTCAGTCAGGTACTTTAAATTACGAGTGAAACATACCAGTTTATGGTCATAACGATTATACGATTATTATAATGGATTTATGAATTTTAAATTATCAGAATTCAAATCATGATCCAAAGATCTACATGAATAATGTATGGACATGACTTGCTCTTAGTTTACATTATATGAATCTTAACTTTATTTACGAGCCTTTTATTTGAGCACATTATAATTCTCATTTGGCAGGTTTGAATTTAAAAAAAATTAATTTATTTCATTTAATTTTTTTAGTTACTGGTCATTAGATTTGATTTATTAAAGATTTACTTACAGTTACTGAGCATTTAAAACACTCCAAAATAAATATCAAGTTTTAAACAATCACAAACAAACATTACACATAGTATCCCTGAATTGAATAGTTAAATAAGTGTCTCACGCCTGAGTGGATATCTCAGACCAAATAATGCGAACTGACAAAAAGAATTATGAAAATAGACAATATCCTTATTTTAACATTAACAGATTCTTATATCTACTGTAACCAATAGTTTTTAGCAGTTATTAAAGTTGGAATTTTAGGATTTAAAAAATATAAATTAGTAAATACATGTCTAGTGCTTGTGTAAATGTATGGATGATTGAATGAAATTCCTGAAAGAAAAGATATAGCATTAATAAAAAGATAATTTTAAAAATCCATTTATTTCAACTGTCAAGAGTAGAACCCTCTCATGTTTGCCTTTAAATACTTTTTGATCCGTTAATAAACATCGCAATGTGCTTAATATAAATAGGTGACAATATGCGTACAGTAGATTCTCAAGGGTTATAACGAAGGTAAGAAATACCAAAATCTTAATTTAGGCCTATCCCAAAATATATTGCTTCTCATTTTTAAGTTTCATAACTTGTTAATATTCAGTATAAAATATATAAAAAAAATCACATACCTGTTTCTCTTGAAAATGGCCAAACTAATGTAAATCTTCATTCAGAAATTAAAATTCCTGACACTAATTTAACTCTCGGTTTGTATTATGAACGTCTTTACCTGTACTCTATTTTTGGCATTCAATGACTCATCCATGTTTTCATTCATTCATTCTTTATTTCCACTATTACATGTACAGTGATTAATGAAAATTGAACACACACAGAAAAAAGGATATCACATATGAGATAAACAATAAATTGCATGCAAACACCTCATAATATATATAGAAAAAATATATATATGTATATATTTACAATGTTTTAGATCACAAAATCATTTGGGATCATTACTTCACACACATGTATTATATATATATATGTCCTCGCTTGAAAGAAAAAATCTATAAATGAATTTTGAGAATAAGAAATAAAGGAGCTGGAAGCGTCCCTCATTGGCAGATTTGCAGTGCGGAAAGATTGCGCTTATAAAAGGCACACGCATCAACAACGCAGCGAAAGTTTCGTAACTGGAAGTTTCTTAGGTTGAAGGCGGATAGAATGGTGTTCGGCTTACGGCCTAGAAGAATTAAATACAGCTCATCATCAGTAAGGGCACACAGTTCAACACACAGGTTAATGTCAAAGTAGTTAATTACATCCTCCCACCACTGATTGCGTATATCATATGTGATACGACACGTACAGGATGCATGGTTAAATAGATCAACGTACAGAGATCCACAAAGGGGACACATTTCTGTAGTTTCTCGAGGAGATTCGGAGACTAATTTGCAAATGAATTTGCACAACGAAATCTCATTACAATTTTGGGGTAGTCGCCAGAATAAAGCAGGATTTCCATCCTGAAATATTTTCCGGAAACGGTCGAATCCAGGATCATCTGAAACACGTGTGTCTCTCCGCAGCTTATTATATCGAAAAGTTGCAGATCTCACAATTTGTTTCCAGGCAGGCTTTGAAGGGAATGAGGCACCTGTAAGCCACTCACTCACATACTGGCAAAGGTCGTAAGTACACAAAAGAATCAGAATATCCGGAATAAAACCTAGCTGTTTATGAGCGATCCCTGCCAAGTAAGCAAACAGTCTAGTTAAGAAGATTTTCTTTGACAGAGTTTTGTATTCCAGGCAACACAGACGACCAAAAAATAGAAGCTTCCTTGCATCAATCTCGGCTTGTATTGGAAGAACTTCAAAAAGGCTTTCACATATGTCAGACCTTGTTTTTGTAGGTAGATTCTGGGCGTTTTTAACCACAAGATGCTGGAAGACATTCAGGCGATGTAAATCATTTGAGGCCATGCTATTCCATAGTTCACATCCATAGAGTACCGATGGTAGGACAATTGATTTGTAGAGATGAGAGAGTGTTAAAGGGCTCAGGTATCGACATCCAATATCATTCAGGGCGAAATACGAGTTTTTCCCCTTTCGACATGCAGAAATTATCCTATCTGAAAGATTGCACTTATCATTGATAAGAATACCGAGATGATTACAGTTGTCTAGGCAAGAAATGGTTTCGTTTCCCAAGAACCATACATAGTCGAAGTGTTCTCTCTGACATTTTTCGCACAGAATCTCAGAATGCAGGATTTTTGAGCATTGAACGTGAATCGCGATCTCCTGGAATATTCGAATGCAATGTTCAGCATTGTTTGAAGGGATGTAGGTGAAAGACCTATGCAAGCTAGATCATCTGCCAATGAGGGACAACTACATGATATATTAAGAATGCCCGAGTGATTGGATGATTTTTCTAGAATATTAATCAAATCGTTAATGAACACAAGATACAAGAATGTAGAAAGGACACCGCCTTGTCTAACGCCCTGCTGGACAGGAAACCACCTTGACTGAGTTTGATTAACTATAATAGCACTTGATGTATCAATGTGACAGTCCTTTAGTATAGACCAAAGTTTTCCTGTTATACCCAGTTCATACAATTTCAATAAAAGAGCATGTCTCCATACAGTGTCAAATGCCTTTGTACTATCTAAAAAACTAACATAAACATTGC